GTTTAGGGTTCAGGATTACTCGAAGGGTCCATGTACCGAGGCTAGAGTATATGTTGGATGTGTTCATGGACCCTTAGGGTTAGGTCTCTCTTTCCAACAAGCAACTCTTGCTTGTGATGAAGTTTATGACAAGACTGGATCCTAAACCCTAAACCCTAAACCCTAAACCCTAAACGGTCTAGGGTTAGGGTTCTGGTCTGATTCGTCTCTGCTGGTGGTGGACGATCTGGGCAAAGCTGAGGGGATGAAGCTTCAGGAACTCTACATGCGCTGTTCTGCCCCAACTAAACCGCCACCTTATCCATTAGATAGGAGGGCTTGCGTGGCAAGGTAGCGCTGGAACACATAGTGATGATAGATCCCCACATTACTGTTTTATTCGGGGGGTGTAGGGTTTAGGGTTTCGGCAGGGTTTCGAGTTGTAGGTTTTTGTTGCAGGTACCTCCATCCAGGAACCCCAAGGCTAGTACGAGACAGGCAGCATCTATTTTTTGTGTATCAGTCCTTCTCTTCTGGTGCTGGCGCTCGCTACACAACGAGCCCACATGGAATTGCGATACTTGCTTGCGCCAAACGTTCTAAGGAACCTATGGTCCCAGATGGTCCGAGAATGTGGCACGGACTCCAAAAAAGCCTAAATCCTAAACCCTAAACCGTACCACTGACGGAATAAGACTCAAAGACCAGAATGTGGCATAAAATCTTAGAGCTCTAAGGATCAAAATAGCCCAAAAGCCTTCTTTAGCATTTTTAGCTGGTCTTTGGGCCCAACACCCTTAAAAAAATGAGTCCTCAGAGCCTCAAAAGGGAAGGCGGAAGACTCCAAGGGCCGAGGGTTCCCTTGACTCACCAGGAGTTCTGCCCTGAAAAAGTTGCACACCACCGTTTTAGGGTTTAGGGTTTAGGGTTTAGGGTTTAGGGTTTAGGGCTTTCAAATGCCGCAAAAACGTCCAAGTGTACAAATTACATAACCTAACTAAGCTTGCAAGCCCTGAACCCCTAAACCCTGGACGTTGAACTCCCATGAATCCTGGGTTCAGGGTTTAGGGTTTAGCGCTTAGGGTTTAGGTGTTAGGGGTGTAGGGGTGGTCTAGGACATTTTCAGGTGGGTAGTTACCGTTGTAGGAGCCTTATAGAAGGTGTATATACCTTATAGAAGCCTTATAGAAGCCCTATATACCCTAAACTCCCCCCTGTAGTTTCCTTTAAGTTGGAGCCAGGAGACGTTGTGGAGGCAGATCCTGACAAGGCCGGGGGAGCCCATCGCAAAAAAGCCTTTCCTGCATGGAGCCCTACACCTCAGAACATCTTAAAGCAGAAACACTTAATGTAGGGGCTTTAATGATTAGAATAGGGTTCTGGGGGCTCCTTATTATAAGTGTCTTAAAGCCCCCAAACACTGAGACACTTACCTAATGTAGGGCCTTAATAATTAGGCGTATACTTTAGTATAATTATAGTAAGGAACCCCCCAAAACCTTATTCCAATTATTAAGGCCCCTATATCAGCCGAAACAAACCCTCAGCTTAAAAGTCATGCTGCCCACGCGGCACGTCGGCCTTCTCTTCTGTCTGCGATCGATCTCGTATTGTCGTCCCCTTTCCCTAAGGCCCAACATAGCCAAAAAGCCTTATATAGTATGGTCTTTGGGCCCAAAACCCTTAAAATATGAGTCCTCAGAGCCTTACGGTTTGCTCAAACGGTAGAGTTCCTGCGAAGTCCCTGAACCCTAGAAGGCATAACCCAGAATCCCAGCACAGAATCCTGTGGGGCTATAATATGGGGGGGCCTTAAATCATGACCTATACTATTTTTGGGGCTCCTTATTATAAGTATAGTTATAGTACAATCTAGCCCCAAACCCTTATTCTAATTTTTAAGGCACCTACATAATTATTCAGTTCAGACACTCAGGCAATCTAAGGGTTGAGTTAAGGCTTGCTTTGTTTTGAAGTCCTCGTTCAGGCTTCCTTGGAGGCTTTGCTTCATTCTAGGGTTCCTTTCAGGCTTCTGGTGAGGATAGTGGCTTATAGGGAGTCGAATTTAGATTCGGGTTTCGGGGCCTTGGGGCTTGGGGCTTGCGGTGGTTGCGAGCATGCCACTTGTTAGGTATCCTGTAGAGTGAA